TTGCAATACATACTTATGTGCATATATAGTATATAAAATATATGATACATATTTTCTTTTACAAAAATTGAAGTAACGTCGAGCTGAGGAATGTTCTCAGAGAAAATTTAATATTGCAATTTTATGTGGAGACAGAGGTCTGTTACCCGCGGATTACACCATGACGGTGTTGGAATTATCAAATTAATAAAATTATCATTTGTATATATTGCCACTAAAAATTCTAAATAATGAGATAACATCACGAGAATGAAAAAGTATATAAAATCGGAACTACTCTTATTTAAAAAAAAAAAAATCTTAATTCTGGGTATAACTTGGATATATCTGGTAGCTACCTAATTACTTTAATTAGTGCATGCAGGAAGTATAGTAAACACCGAACCTCGTCAGCTTTTTTCACAAATAGTAAATAAATTGGGAAATACCATCTGATCAAATAATATCCGGACTGACAAATACATAAACATACTTAGGCATCTGAGCCAACGCAAGCAAGCCAAAGCTAATTTCAATTTTACGTAAACTTGTTAGAAGCCATGACTGAGATGGCCTTCGCTGCTTTTAACGATGTTTGGCTCATTTTTGGAGTCCCATTCGACAAACTGATAGGCAGTTTCGACGTCATAATCATTGTCGTGTTTGGGTCTTTGTTAAGCATAACGCCGATTTTGTAAAAACAATCAGGTCTTTTGGTGAGAACCTAGCATACCCAAAACACTTAAATAGGCTTAAGCATCCATAAGATATGTTAAGGATCTCTACTATTTTTCTGATGTCAACATGACGATTTTCTAGCACTTGACTTCATGACTTTACGACTATCATTGATTGCTTTGTGTTACTCTAAAATAGACACCCCAAAACACTTCTATAACATTTTCAACGAATCTGTCGCTCTGATTCGATTGGAAACACAAAATTTCCTGAAAGCCCATTTTTCAATTCTTCTTTGCATGGCAAAAACTGCCAGATGACGTAAACAAACAGCTGCCTAATTGACATATGGAGATCAAACTTCACACGAATATAAAAACAGTTTGTGTTAACCAATCCGGGTCAATTTTGATGTTGAATATATTATTACTAATTTTATTTATACGGAAGTTTTCATGAAAACAATTTTAGCACTTTTAGACAGCCGTCACATACAAATTGTTTTAAGTAAACTAAGTATGTTTAAACACCAACATGAGTTCTCTATTAACACTCTAATCGGTTCAGCTAATTGAAATATTTGAACATGGTATAAATAAACGCATCGTTTAGCACAATGTAATTTATAATCTCTAGCATATTTGCTATACAAAATGCTTTAAAAACAAATACAAGATACTATATAATTCAACAAAACATTAAACCAGTGTTCTTTCTCTTTCCGAAAATCACAAATGAAAAGACAGAAAACAAGATAAACATTTTCAAATATCCATCGAAGATCGGTGTCCAGATCATGCTTGTTTACAACATTTTTAGCAGAAATGCGTTGAACTCGACAAAAAGTGTGTAGGTGAAAAAACATATGAGACATTGCTTGAGGAAAATTTCATGTACATAAATAAATATTTAGCTATAATTTCACAATCTTTCACAAATTTGAACTCGTAAATTTTTAATAGGTTCATTACTCTGTTTACTTTTCACGAAGAAGGTTGAAAATTCTCACTGCAATATCAATGTATGGTATGTGTGATTTATTTCCTACAACTTAATCCTTTTAGCCAACCTGCTACGAAGACAAATATATTTCTCCTCCCGCCCTGCTTGTTGTAAGAAGCACCGGTGAATGGCGATGAACTGAGATATCTTAATTTGCATGGCATTACCTTGTCAACAACGTTCTTAGCAAGTATACTGGCAAGATATGAGACACACAGCTCTATTACGTATCTATACTAGCGCGAGTCGACAACAGTATACCAAAATGTATATTACCACTGGTTATCGACTAGCTACTGCTTTCTAATCTGGTAATAGCGAAACATTTGGGAAACAGTTTTCAAAATCCCCGAATCAGAGAATCTCAACGTCCCTTATGAGTCGACTCAACATAATTTGTTTCGAATATAAAGCCTGTTAATGCTAAAATCGTCTCAAAAGACCTGCATCTTTTGCAAAACCGACTTCGAATAGAGTGACGAAACGTGGGTTTATGACAGCGACGGCGAAACTGTCCAACGATCTAGCGAATGGTGCTTCAAAAATGAGCCGAAACCAAAAAAACTAAAATTTGTTGAAGGCCTGTACTGAAAGTCATCCCAGCCGAAACTTATCAGAAGTGTATGGAAAAATGGATTAAGCGTTGGTATGTTGTCTTGGCTCAAGAGCCTATTCCGAAGGCGACAATAAAGATATGTATTAAAATAAATGAAAATGTAACTTTTTTTGTTAGTCCGGTTTTTGATCAGTTGGTAAAGTACGGTTATTAATGACAAAAAAAAAAAAATATATATATACATATATTCTATTGATAACTGAGACTAGTGTCATAATAGTAAAAAAAAAAACCTCAAAATCGAACATGTCAAAATGGCAAATTAATTCCACACACTATTTCAACTCCCACCCAATTGATTCGCCTTATCCATAGCGCTGTTCCGTATAATAATCTTTATTCATATTTGCACGCCTATAGCAAGTGACGCCTACTAAAGCACGCAACCCCATCATCATCAGCCCACAAATATTTCCCACTACTCATACTCAAGTGCAACCACAAATATTTTCATTAAAAAGCAGCGAAATGAAAATGCTAACGAGCAAGCAGGCGTAGCTTTCGTTGATTTTATCTCTCTGTCGCTATTCATCACTCACAATGTATACATTGTAAAAAAATAAATAAAAGAAAATTATAGAAGAGAAAAGTAAATAAATAAGAGTATGTCATTTATATCGCACAATAAAGGCGTACAAAGTAGGAAGGTTTGCGAACGAAAATGACGTTCTGCGCTCTAACTTTGGCATTAGCGCCAATGACGCAGTGGGCGCGCCACAATTGCGACGATGTCGGTGAAATCAGTGCATTGAGTATATGTAAGTACAGTGTATTTCGTAAACGGAAACGGGCTCTTCATTGGCCAGGATGGATGTCGGCGACCGTTCGTTGGCAGTAGCCTTAACTGATGGCAAACTGAGATTGCAAAGCTGATCAATGTAAACTGTATTGGAAAGAAATATTGGTAGTGGAACCTTCGATGTGCATGTAGTGTCCTTAAGTTTGACCTTTATGTATTTGTTTGAGACTCACTGCCTAGAATTACGACAGTTTCGATTCGTCCCCTTTTTAAGTGCATTTGACATAATTTACAATAGTCCTTGGCGTCATAATCTAAAAAAGGGAAAGGATTTGGTTACAGTTGGAATGAAGACAGTTCGTTTAGTTTACGAAATAGCGTGTCGCTTAAGGACTTGTGAGTCGTCCATTCGACTCTGTTGCTGATAATAACATGGCAAAAGTTGCGAACACTGTATAGCTGGGCTGTCAATATCCTTTACCGATCGCCACAACATATTTCAGTTGATATTTTGGATAAACGGTAGGTCTTTGCCGAGCTCGGGCAATGAAAACCTGGCATTTTACCCATAATAACGTTTTATAAAAAAAAAAAGGTTTGGAAGTGCGGCCAGAATAGTAGCGAGTACGCTTCCCGGAGATTTAGGAAGAAGTAATACAATAAACTAAAAATGCAATCAGCCGCTAAACGAGAAAGAATACAAGTTTCTTTAGTTGGGTCTCAAGAAAATGAATGGATACTATGATGGCACAAACCTAATAAACATGCTTAGTGAATGGTGTTCCCTTTATGAGTACAAAACTCCTATCGTCACCACACGTCAAAAAACCAACCCATATCTTATATCCAGCTTTCGATTCCTACTCAGAACAATATCGGCTAAATAGCTACGAGATTGACTATGATCACTCTGATGCTGAGCGAGCAAAAAAGCACCAAGAAATTGTAATTAATTAAGTTGGTGGAGACGTTCTTAATTTCTATGCGAAATATGAGCCAGTTCAACTGAAGAAAATATTTAAAAGGTAAGGAATATGATTCTTGAAAATTGTCAGGCAAGTGTCAAGAGAGCTCGACATCTCTCTCGAGTATGTTCGAATGATTTTCGTGTATATTTTAGGTATGAAACTCGTTCTTACACGACCCCCCCGATAAAAATGATTTTTTTTTTAAAAGAGTACTGTAAACAGTTCTCTTTGGACATGTTTAATTGTGCGAACTCTGATCCCATATTGACGGAGAGCATTATAACTGCCGATGTAACATAAGTTCATGAGTTTGACATGCAAGAAAGTCAACAAACATCGGAATGGGACTCGTTTTATGTCGATCGAAGAGATTTTCAGAAGGAGCTGAAGGCCATCTCAAAAAGTGCTTATGAGAAGTGTTTCGAGGATTTATCAAATCATTGGTATAAATTTGGTGGCGATTACTTTAATAAAAAATATTAGTAATTAAATATTTTACATGTTATTTATAATTTTCGGGTAATTTTTAGTCGCAATATGCAGACATAAAACATCTCACAAGTAAAATTGCATGAATAATAGCTGTTTTCCCTGCACTTTCCTCTAATCTAGACGCATTAATCGCCTTCGATATTTATCGATATTTTTTGCAATGACCGGTTTTAGTAATCGAATTCTCTCGTCACACAAACGTCAGCGATTTAACGTTTTAAATCCGAGTGTATATCAAAACAAAACACACAAAGCACAACACAATGCAACACTGCACTACGCGTCACTAACACTGGCAATAACAACAACAATATTTATCTTTTAATTGCGATGACAATTCTGTCAGCGATTTATCATTGCGTTGCATAACAACATATTTTTCTTTGCTGCGTTCTCAACTGCACATAAGAGGCCAACGCCGCGTTGTTCATCAACGAATAATGCCGAGATTTATCTCTGCGATTTATAAATTTTCCCACACAACACTATTAAGCAGAAATTCATTTCATTTCAATTTAAATATTACAATGCACAATCTGTTGCGAATGCACTTTAAGTTTGAGGAGTTGAACTGTTGAGCACTTGGCACTTGGCGGTTGGTGGTTTTCGTTTGGCTATTCTTCGGTTTGTGCAAACGCTGCACTCTGCACTGGCCGTTTGTCAGTTGACAAAGGAAATTTAGTTTTCCGCTTGAGAATCGACGATAAACTGAACTGATTGGCCTCGCATATTCACAAAAGACAAAGCAAAATGCCGCCGATCGAAACAAAAGATTTCTTGGCGACGTGAGTGTGGAGCTACTATATAAATGACGGGATAATATTAAACAAATGAAAGTACACACATACTTCCACACATACACATACATATAGATATGTGCATAGCAGCAAAGGAGGAAAGGAGAAATGTGGAGCAAGGAAATAGCAGCGGGTGATAAAGCTTCTACGACGACAACGCCAACAATTGCTAAGGCAACAAGAGCAACAAAATAATAATAAATACAAGTGTAAACATGTGGAATATGTTGTTTTGTTTGGCATTAGTGTGCTGCAAGGCGCTACAGTTAACTGCCAGGTGTACTTGATTAGATCGTGAAGAATTGTGAGGGTGTTTCAATGAATTTATTATGAAATTTTTAAAATTCTATATATTTCGATGAAATATAATTTTGAATTACGAATTTATTTTACTAAGAGCTAAGAGATAGGTTCTGATTGATATGATGATTAAATCTTATAAAATTTAACTCAACTATTATATGAAAATTTGCTTCACTGCATAATTATAGGTATGTCAACTAACCAAAATAAAAAAAATAAAATATTTAAAAATTAATGTTCGAAATATCTGGTCGCATAAAAAAGTTTTCATCGGCGCTTCAAGTTTGAGCAGTTTCTTAAGGAAAAAAGGACGAATGCAAAAATTCGGAACGATATTTTAAAAACAACTGGAGGACTAAAGATGGACAGACTGACGGACATTGTTAAATCGACTGAGCTAGTTCCTCCGATCATTTCATATGTACCTTTTATTGTCAGGGATAAACTGAACTGAAAATCTATCGATATAATTTGTTCGATATATAAATAAAGAAATAATTTCCATTTTTAACAAAAAATATATTCGAGTTCAAAAGCTTCGAAATTAAAAGCCACCCTTACTATGTCACAAACGAAACCACCGGTATTTTTCATGTAGCGAAACTTTAAAACGATAATTCGATTTATAAAGAGAAGCACTGTTATGATGGAAAACGTATAATACTATATTTACAGGTGCTTATGAATCAGTTTACCCACATTTACAAATATATTAAGGCATTCATATAGACACTGCTCGCACATACTTGCTAATAACCTCCTCTATGGGTACGTCGAAAGTTATTATCTAAAATTATTGCGAATTAAATATAGTATAATACACTCATATATAAATATAAAGCTATGTATGTATGTATGTGTGTTTATTTCGCGGCATTTAGACACATGAGCTTAATTAACAAGAAATTGAGGCGGTGAGAATTAAAGTGACAGGTCAAGGGTTGCCGGCAATTTTGTTTTGAAAGTCGATAAACGATAATTTTGTGTACGATAACAGTTTAGATGGAATGTATTATTTTGAATAATAGTTTTTTTGAAAAATGTTTATTCTTTAGCTGGAAAATGAATAATTTTGATGAGTTAAAGTTTGATAACGAATGATGATGTTTTAAGGATATACAGAAAAATTATTTTAGAATGAAGTAGACCGATTCGACCCATTCGATAGCTTAGAAGCCTAAACTCCTTCTAAGAAGTATTTGAATATCTCTCAATCGAAAATTAGAAAGGATCAAATGATACTACTATTATGACAAGATATCGGATAAAAACAAATCTAAAGAATAATGCCGTCTTGCCATTATGTCTAAAACAATCTAACAAAATATTGGGACCGATATTTCGGAAAAACTAGAGCGACTCACACTTGGCACGTACTGAAAAATATTTCCGAAATATAGTATATATTCAAGGGCACACCACGTATATACATATATAGAAGTTCTCCACTACTGCAGTGTTTCCGACCTTCCTCTTAGATGAAATGTAACGACGCATCCGTGTGCAATGACTTATGCTCGAAAAACTATCGAAAATTAAAAACAAAAAAAAAAAAAAATCTATGTTCGGACCGACATTGAAAACATTTTGAAAACACATTTGTGGGTTATGAGATCCAGTCGTTCGGACCTACAATGTGTGTTTTCGATGAGCTTTCACTGACAACTATCAATACGGGGAATGCAAAAATCCTATACCGAAATATGCAAAGCCTAGAGAGCACCCATTCCAGAATCTAGTGATACATGACGAAAATAAACATGGATTTTGGTGTGACATATTTTACACCCATTGCAAATAGATTTCTGCTTGTGTTTGTTTTAGGGCGAAACCCAGGTTTTCCCACGAAAATATGTTTTTATTGTCGTCCCGAACATAGTATAAGGCGCTTACTCAAATTTCTGTCGCTTTTGGCCAGATCAGATCGAAAACTGATAAGTTAATTTAACATCGAACTCTAATAAGAAAGGGACAGATTCCCTGCCTCGAAACGTTACAATTTACCACAACATAGATACCAAGAGTTGAAGAGGGAAGCGAGACGCATTTGCTGCCAAAAAATAGAGACGCCCAAATTCATGAGTACAAAGAGCTTGACTAGCTGGCCGACAGGGATAAAACTTATAAGTTCTATGAAAAAATGTGGCGACAAACAAAAGGTTTCAAAACCGGAACATAATCTTGCAGAACCACCAGAGGTAATCTAGTGAGTCTTATCCACCTTACTGAATGGTAGTGAAAACATAACACTTGGAGATAGTGAACCTGATTCACCAATCTATGGCGATGAGGCAGACGTTCCATTGCCCGACCATGAAGTAGTTCGAATAGCAATTACCCGTCTGGGGAATAACAAAGAGGCGAGGGCCAATGGATTGTCGGAGAAGCTATTCAAGTACGGCGGCGTAGAACTGACAAGGAGATCCGATTGGAACATAAGTGTGTGGAAAACCCCACAATTTGCGCCAACTATTGTTGGATAAGTCTCCCAAATATTGCATATAAGGATCTATCGAGCGTACTGTGTGAATGATTAAAGCTCACTGTCAACAAACTGATTGCACCATATCAGTGTGACATCAGGCCTGTAAAATCAATAATATTCATCATACGCCAAATCGTGGAAAATACCCCTAAAAAAATTCGACACACACCATCTCTTCGTAGATTTTCAGCTGCTTTTCCTTTGACAGCACGAAAAGGAACTGCCTTAATGCCGCCAAGTCTGAATTTGGTATCCGCGCAAAACTAATACGGTTGTGTAAACTGACGTTGATCTATACCAAAATCTCCGTCAGGATCGGGAAGGACCCAGACAAGGCGACGACCTTTCGTGTGACTTCTTCAATTCCAGTGCTGGAGAAATTTATTCGAGCTGCACATTTGAATCGAAGATACACAATCTTTTATAAGGGTGTACAGCTGCTGGCGTATTCTCTTCAGGTTGGATAAAGAAGCAAAGCAATTGGGTTTGGTAGTGAACGAGAGCAAGACGAAATATCTCCTGTCATCAAACGAACAGTCATAACATCCAAGTCGTATATAAATTCGTCTAATCCAACGCAGACTAACTCTTACTAACAGGTGCTACTTCGGACTGAGTAGACAAATGAGAAGTAAAATACTAAATTATACAAGTCACTCATCATCTCCGTCCTATCATATAGTGCAGAGGCTTGGGCGATGACAACATCTGATGAGTTACGAGTTTTCGAGAGAACGGTTCTGCGGTCCTTTGCGCATTGGCAAGCTGTACGAGATATACGACGACATCGACATAGTTCAGCGAATTAAGAAACAGAAGCTACGTTGGCTAGGTCATGTCGTACGAATAGATGAAAACACTCCGGCTCTCAGAGTTTTGAATGCAGTACCCTCCAGGGTAAACAGAGGAAGAACTCCACTCCGGTGGAAATACTATGTGGAGAAGGACATGACTAGACTTGGAAGCTCAAAGGTTTTATTAGGTACGTCGAGCCGAAGTAGGGACTTAAATGTATTCAATATTTATGAAATTTAAATCGAAATTTAAGAACAGAAGTATCAAATGCCACAACTTAATGTCCCATCAATCAGCCAGGAAACATTTACCGAACTAAGCTAAGCCATAAGTATTTCTTATTAATAATAGAAGTCTTAATCTTTTGTTGTCATTTTCAATTACGTTAATGCAATTGTTGAGCGGCTATATGCCATACAGACAATATCCGTATGAGTGCACACAGTGTGTACATATGAACATGCAATCCGGTCCAATCAATTATGGTTGTTCTGAAATAAATAAGTGAATGCACAAGCGTGTGGGCCACGATTTCCCATCCGTCAAAATGAATTTGTTTATACAATATTTTAGAAGAATTATGTGCGCACTTACGACTGAATATGTATGTACATAAATTAGCCGGCACTTAGTTCCACATGTGTGAATATATTATTCGGAAAATTTTTTGGATTATGTCAAGAAACATATGTATATAAAATATGGTAAAATAATAACTAATTTTTCTAATAGAAGTTGTAATAAAAAAGTTCACTACTTTTCTAACGTGACTTTGGTAATCAGTAGATGTTTTTTTTAAAGAATTAGTGATTGGATGACTCAGTATTGTTTGAGCAGGTGTTTTCGAGAGAACTGTTCTGTGGTGTCAATTTCGAACAAACACACGTACAGGGTATTTCCGGACAGTAATAGGTCTGAGTCGATTAAAAAAAATGTATTGAACAAATCGTTACAATTATTTAAAATCCTTCAAACAGTCTCCTTCTGCGTAGATGCAGCGCTGCCAACGCGATTTCCAAGCATTGAAGGCGTCGCGGAAGGCATTCTCTGGAATAGCCGAGGTGCATGCTGCTCTCAATCCCTTCCTTTCATGGGCCTTTTCAGGCTAAGAAACATAAAAAATTCGAGGGGTCACATCTGGGCTGTAGGGCGGCTGCGGAAACGTTGGAATGCCGGCCTTGGTTAGGTAGCTGTTCACAATGAAGGCGGTGTGAGCCGGGGCGTGTCGTGGTGCAACTTCCAATCAGCTGCGATGTCTTGTCGGATCCTATTGACGCTTCGTTTGAATCTCTTGTGGATTTTCACGTAAGACTTGGCGTTGATGGTTTGTCAAGGAGGAACAAATTCATGGTGTGCGATGCCTTTGATGTCAAAAGAGACAATCAGCATTGTTTTCAGTTTGGATTTTCTCATTCTTCCGGTCTTCATCAGCGATCACTTCCCGGCCCTCCAAAGAGACTAAAGCAACATCTGGGTAAGCCTACCTGATCATATCAAACGTCAGCCGCTCGTGCGTTAGCTACGAACGCCCTATACCG